CCCGATCACCCACTTCCAGGATAAAAATGCACCTCTCCGCTCTCCCGTTGGTGATTTAAGGCCCTTTCATCCAACAGTATGTATTCTGTGGCATGTTCGCGACGTAACGTTTGTGAGTAAACAGCTATCTTCAATAAGTAGGATCTGAGGTTTGCACGGAGGTGAGTCTGAAGATGGCTTTCTTCTGGGTTTTTGCGCCGTGTAGCCTGGTAGAAGTTTAACGACGTTTCAGATGACCGTTCTGCCTCCATCATCACGTCGATTCGCCCTGATGATGGAGGCAGCAAGCTGGCGTCATTTTCCACCCTTACCAATAACACTGACAAAAACACAAAATCCACTAGGTCAACACTGAATGCATTCGCCGAATCCAGACTGGCTAAAAATGGCATAACACAATTAAGGTGTTTTAGGTGTGAGCCTTTAGAAACAGTTTTATTACCCCTCGTGTTTCCAAGTCCAACTCTGATCCAAGCACAACGTAACAAAGGCTATAGTTTCATGCAATGAATCTCTGGAAAGAGGACACCAGAACACTGAAAACTTGTCAGGATAGGATACCGCTCTTATTCAATGGAAACATTTTGTATTTCCCAAATGATATAAAGACTTAGAACCAATGCTGGATAAATTATTGCATATGGAAGAACAGAGTTGCATGTCCCTATATGCTCTGAAACAGACCAAGCGCTTCATATACGTTTGTGTGTTTTATAAATTGCTTCCATTACAACCTTTGCAGAATAGCTATTTACTGATAGTAGTGGCTTCGTATGCTGAATGGCAAACAACTAGTAAACCGCCATGTTTCTCGTTACCAATGAGTTCACGTGACACTATAATAACCAGCGTCCTACCGCACTCACTGCAGATAGCAGCACAGTATCTGCAATATCAGCGATGCTATCCAAGGATAAACTAGGATAGCAAATAATGACAACTTAATTTTTTACTACAAGCTTAAAAAAAAGATAAAAAAAAAGATTGACAAAAGTCAGAGAGTACAAATGTCACGCATTGAAAACGTGACCGGACGTTGGTTCGTGATCGTCTATTTTGTTTCTTGAAAGCAAAACAAATTTAGAATTAAAAATCTAGTTTGATTATTAAGTAATAATATCCTCACTTACACATTCCCATGCAATGGCAGAGAAATCTTTTTATTCCTGATCTCGGCACATTCGGCTTTGGAAAGACAACAAAACAAACCAGATATTTGTCTCTTAACTTAACCGTGGCCTATAACCCACAGGAAGAACACTCCTACTTTGCCAGAACACCGAACGATCCGGGTGACAAGGGTCAACACTCCTGCTGTCTTTAACTCAGCAGGGCTATGAAAAGCGGCCATCTTGATCAAGCAGCTTCATGGTTTCCTTCAGACACTCCAGACTAATGCCGAGATATTACTTTAATGAGGCCATGAACACTTTATTTCAAACCCTTCTCAATTCATTATTCAGCAATAAGGTTTCTTTCTACGGTATATTATCCGAGCAACTGACAGTGTAGTCAAATAAACCATGGATAATACAAGCCATTCATTATAATTAAGCACAGACACATTACCAATAACGCCGTTATTCATGAAAAATAATGGCACAAATGCTTTCCCCCCCCCCCCCCCCCCCCCCCCCACCAATCCACGCTCAGAAAATATACCTTCCATCATTAATCAGGGCGATTGTTGTGAAAACCTCAAATTTAAGCTCTATTGCGACAATCAGTGCGCGATATATAGGGCTTATGAAGCCGTTCTGGGTTTGAGCGCCGTGCAGACTGGTCGGTAGATGCATCTACCAGTCTGCACGTCGCGAAAACCTAGAACATCATCCTCGCCGTCGAAAAATCCTCAGATTTTGCAACATACAGTTCTAGTAAATTCTTGCGTTTTTCAGGAAAGTGTGTTATTAAGAATGGAATCCCTTAAAACATTCAGAATAAATATAAAGCCAATAAAGGAAGAAAACTGTCAAAGACGTGTACAGACTACGAGCGCTCGATTCCCGCTCGAGGCACATATGTAAGAGTTCTGTTGTTATTTTGTGTAGGTAGAAGCCTTGCTACGGGACGATCACCTTCATACACGAAAGCCTACTCAATATCAACCCATTAATCGTTTCGTAATTAATTACGTATCGAACAGGCTTGAGGGCCTGATGTTCGAAAAGCAAAGAAAGAATTCCATGGTCTACTTCTGCCCCGCGCTAGTAAATTATAAACTGATCTAAAAGCGAACGCGCTGAAGATCAATCTTAACTGACTGCACTAAGAGGCACAGACAAGAACATGCTGAGTCATGAGTCATTAGAAGAGCTAAGAAGAATATAACAATCACTTCAGTTTTCTTTTCCACATGCAAGCAACGATCCGAGATCACTATGACCTCCCACAGAGCGGACCTCTTCTCCGTTGTCACGCTACGACAGCTAACCTTTCATATTAATATTTCTACGGGCCTTAGTATTCTATTACTGAACTTCAAGATTCTTATTTAAGGCCTAAGTGCATAGTCTACCAACTTCCATATCCCTTTCAAGCATTCAATGTACAATTGTGCCGATCAGGACAATAATAATAACTATGGAGCGAAGTCCTTCTTGATAAGATTAAAATCATAGAGCTTGTCAAGAAATTGCGTTTTATGAAACCCAAACGAACGTTTGTTCATACACAACCGCCACTGTTCATAACCTGAGGCAAATCAACCTACTCCATATTCCACACCCTCCCGCCATTATCTCAAGATCCGTCTTAATGGTATCCTGCCATCTCCGCCTAAATCTTATAAGTGCTTCTCTTCTGCTCATATTTCGAGACCAAGCATTTATCACCTAACTCTTGCGTGCTATATGCTCTGCTAATCCCCCTCTATTTTATCACCCTAATAGTACCCGATTGAAGGGTACAAATTATGGGTCTTGGAGTCACAGAATACGTAAGAGATTTGGCATTACTGATTGGTGATGCCCTAATCGCATATTCAGTAAGTAGTTGCAAGCAAAATGGCGTACAACAGTCTTTTTAATCTTCAAGTTCTTAGGACGCAGACGCGAAAACGTATTTTAAATTGTAAAGTACAAAGTTTTCCCCAAATTTAATTTTTTCTTAATTTCATCCTAAGCGTAATAATAATAACAATAATGAGGACGAGTAGGAGGAGGTGTTATGAAGGAAAGGAAGGGAGGGACGGAAGGTGGACAAGATAAAACAGTTTTTGTTTCACGTCATCTGCGTACCCGCAGTGTTTAAAACCATCACTCCACAAAAACTGACTTCTTCTGATGACTTCCGATCTGAAAGGCATACTTCAATCTCACAGAGTATGTGGCAGTCTATAACACTGTTAGGACTGCCGACACAAAGGCATCTTTTTACTGTACGCGGCTCACATTAAATTCATCAAAGTGATCCCAGAGCATCGTGGCCATGTTTTAATTACTACCCCGGAAGGTGGGGCTCGGCATCCTATATATATATATGTCTGTCGTAAAAGAGCACTAAAAGTCAATAAAAATGGCATATGATCCTATAAACAGTTTTAGATCCACCGTAAACGGTTTTGGCTAAGGTTTACAAGAATCGAAAGCAGCCTCTGGACATGAGCCAGTCATAAAAGCATTGTAAAACACTGCCACACACAAACGCCACATACTGTATTCTAAACTTCTGAAAACTCGCTATAACTCTGTCGTGTGGAGTCTTAGTACTAATTCTTTCACTGCAAGTGTATTAGTCCATTCCGCGTCTTAGGGCTTACCGCTTTTCACTTATACACTGTATCCACGTTAGCGGCGAATACAAAAAATGTTGGTTTGAAAATCTGAAGAGATGTAAACCACATGAAATAATTAGGCGTATATGGAAAAGCTAAAATGAACATTAAAGAAGTTGGGTAGGAGGCTGTAAAGTACGTTCATCTGACTCAGGTTAAGACAGTGGCAAGGTTCCGTAAATGTCGGGTAATTTCCTTACTAACCGAGTTGCTATAAGCTCCTCAAAAGTGACTCTGCTCGAAGGTGTCTGTTGCATTAAGAACAAATGAAATACAAAACTGAGTTTTCCATTAACACTAAACGATTTAACAACAATAAAACCGTAGATTAGTAAAAGTGTGGAAAAATTGGATATAAAAAACTATTTTATCGCATATCCTCATTTCACTGTCTTAAATGCGACGGGAATTAAAAAAGTAAGGGAAATATTTTCGTTGTAATATTGGCAACACTGCTGAGGCTTAGTCACACTATTTCTCAAGGTCAGACAGTGACGTGCTGCGAGTGTGGTTCGGTTGTAGCCCATACTTGCTGAGTCAGGGTGGCGTAAAGACGGCTGCCACACTAGAGGTTTGCTACAAGTTCAAAATATTTGCAAAATGGTGTAATACTTTTTGAGAAATAGGCTGTCCGTGGCATATCACGTAATCTTATGTGATTGGTTGAAGATTTTCTTACACTCCTAGATTAGTTGCGCACTCTTCCGGAAAGAAAATTAACGTCGAGTACATGGAGACGTCTTTGACTGTCTGGAAAAGTACTATGGTTATTAGAGACCACTGTCTTTTTGTGACTGGTTGATAAACAAAAACATGTCAACACTGGTCAGCGTGCAGAAGTTCTCCGCGCTAGCCTCAAGACCGGTATTAGTACTAGGACCACAGATTCATTAACAGGTTCCGAAACAAAATACCCACAGCACGAAAACTTGTAAGAAACAACGAATATTTGTTTCTGATGATGATTTAGACAAATAACATCGCTACCTTTTTAACGGTAAGCGTAATTAATGAGGACAGGACGGCATAATGAATACAAGTGGAAAGTTTCTGAGTATAATTCATCCGAACAATGGGTCACAACATGAAATTTCGAATGATACTATCAGGATCTCCGGTGGGCTAAAAGAATCTCAGCAAACCTCAGGCAGGAGAAACACATAAATGTATGTCAGCAAACATTCTTCTTGTCTAGATATATAACATATGGAAAAGTATGTCTTACTGTAGTCATCTGGCTGATGGGAATGCGGTCCGGCAGCACTTGTTCAAAGTCTATGCACTGCTGTCCTGTTCCCAGCGAAAGCCACCTTGGGGCACTCTGGCTGGCTTTCTGGCACGCGCTGCGAACGGTGCACCTGAAACAAATTCATATTTCACACAAGGCACGTGATAAGAAACAACTGATATGCGATGAGATCTGTGGATCTCACGGCGGTGAAGATGTGTTGTAGTTGTTCTGGGTTGTGACGCCGCGCAGACTCGTCGGAAGATACGAACGTTCGGGAGAAATTAGCTTCGGAGAAACGACTTCAGTCCTGAACACGGAGAAGGCAGATTTCTCCGAATCGTTGGTTATCTATGGACCAGTATACAAGGCGCCAAAACTCAAAACATCGACAGATATACACAATTACAATAAAAATGGATGAAACATAAAAACATGTCGGACAGACAGAAGTGCAGTTTTCTAAGACTAGAATTCCGGACATCTACACGATTTTCTGACACAAAACAGGTCAACTTCATCCCGTAACGAGGATAATATGGGTGATGTAAACTACACGTAAAACATTTGCGAGTTCTAAATTTCGTCGAAATTCAACACATACTTCTAGCGATGAGACACATTCTACGCGCGTTTTGAAAACAGAACACAGAAAGCTATGTTTGTTGCTTCAGTCCCAACGCTCAGGGGACATGTCGAGCTCGGTTGCTCGCTTCGTAGCCTGTACCCTCGGACGGGCGAGGATTGGCTGCTGCCTTGTGAGGGGTCAGGGGTCAGGCGCCGGACAGCTATGTCAGATCGACAGACACGCCATGAGAGTGATGACCTTATTGTGGTGTTACTGCGAATAGGATGAGGTGAATAAATATGAGGTCAATTGTTATAAATATGTATATGCGCTTATTACTGACGTGAGTTCACAATAAACAGTTGAAAATTAAAGGGAGGACACAAGAGAGAGAGAACAAAATAACTCGAACGGAACAGCAAAACAGCAAACACAAAAATAAATTAGTTCCTCATTGTGGTTTATAGTTTGATGGCCAAATGATACCGCAACTGTGAGCCTCGTTCTCTTTGTCACCGGGTCACAGCGCGTACTCGGGTTGAGGGTGGACAGCTGCGAACATATACAATAAGAACAGCTGATACGGGGTGGTCCCTCAACCTGGGAAAGGAGATATTTTACGTAGGACATCAGACATGGTGACGGACGAGAATGGTGATGAATCCTCGGGATCTATGAAAGGTAAGAGATTTCCGGACCAGCCATTAGCTTATCAAAAAGTCTGCTCCATGGAGTCAGGGAGTCGGCGGGAACAGATTTTTGGGACGTTTCACTTGAAGGCATGCCGGTGTGTGAGCGTCAAAGCAGCTGTTTTTTCATATTATTAAATCAAAATTAATGACTCTCATGAAAACAAAAATTCTAATGTAGACTTCGGGTACTGGATACGCGATTACAACAAGGCCTTGATATAACGCGAGAACGAGGCTGACTGTTGTAACAGAATACCATAGCATTCGTATATCGCCTTAAATGTATGCAAAATGTCAGTTTATTCCCGTTTCTATGTGCCTCAAGACGAAGTTGATTTTAAATTGCAAGTGAAATACATGAAAACTAACATTTATCGTAATTCTTACTTCTTTATTTACCTCATCCGACTTCATTCTAAATCTTTATAGATTTGTCAGTCCTCGCAAATGGAACACAGAGAGTTTAATTTCCCGACGCACTGGTCAATCTTGTAAATTTTGTGTGGTACTGAAAACTTTTTCAAATTTACAATTCAAGTGTGTTGTACTAAGCCATGAATAAACAGACTAGAAGTCCGAAGGCGTCTTACGACGGTGCGCTATAAAACTTTTTTGTTTGTTTTTGTAATTCGTTCTTCGCCTAAATTATGAAAGTACAACGTTTCGGAAGCAAGATTATAATTTCTGGTTTCAGATAAAACGGGATCTAGAAAATAGAAATCGTGCCTACAGGACCAGGTCTGAGGCTCGCTCAGCCAGACAACCCGGCAAATCGGCTTTCTGCCCTCCCCAATGAAGACGGTGGCCGAATCGTTACAGCTCTATAATTTAGACGACGGACAAGTCCAAAAACAAATTTTACGTATCATAAAAGAGGTAGCTGGGATTACTGCAATGCGTGTGTTACCTTAGTTTCGGATTAAGAACTAAAGCAAAATAATTCATTACAGAGCTTATTATTCAGGCTTACACATGCGAAAATTGTCAGACCTTTGATGTGCGCTTTGTTATTCTAGCCATTAATTAGCACCCCTTTGTTGTGGTGACGGTGTGGCTGCGTAAACCCTAATGTAACATTAGTGGGGGGAGGGGGGGGAGGGAAAGGCAGAGAACACGGGCCGCGGCAGCATTTGTTTCACATCACGCAATAATAAGGACAACAAAATATTAGTATACGATTCCATATTCCGCCTATTATTATTTACAGGACAACGGTCATAAAGCAATCTTTATGGGTCCTATTATTTAATTAATTATAAGATGATATAGTTGCGTCATATTGTGAAAATATATATTTAATTAATTATTCTTGTCCGTCTAATCACAATTTAAAATTAAAATTAAGATAATTAAAGTATCATGTGATGTTCCTATCGAAACATTCGATTTACATTTAGAACATCTTTTCTTATTCTCCAAACACTTCTTTTCCTACATGAAGTTCGTTTATTTCGACGGAAGCAATGCTCAAAAGGTTCAACTTTCACATTCGCTGTTATTCACCGTAAATTTTAAACATCTATGGTAACAAACAGCTAATAACTATGTTAATTACTATAACAGTAAGGTTGTCTCTGCTGCTTAACTAAGCACCAAGCAGATGTGTGAAGAGTGGGGAGAGAGCTCCACGCCCGGCAGCTTTGAGGCGAGGAGAAGAATCCTGCCCGGTCAGCCATAGTGTCACCTAGTTACAATACCGACCGAGCTATCACGAATCCTAAATAATGAAAATAACAGCAGCAGCGGCATTAACAGGGAACAGATCAGAAAGGAAACAAGAATTTTTCCGGCCATGGTTTTGCCTTGCCCGACCTGTCCCCATGTCTAAACCCCGATGAAGGCAGCAAACACCTCTGAAACGTCAGTCAACGTTTACCAGAAGACAACCATCCTCAACGTAACTCGGTATTATCCAGACATTCCAGTAATAGACTTAAAACTCCGGTTTATACAGGTTAGGGAAGAGTACATTGGACACGCCGGAACCTGTTCCTGAAAATAAAGAAAATTATACTGGACCCGTCCTATCGTCGCAGACAAATTACATAATTACTCATACTTATAGAGACACATTTCTGCAAGGTAAAGGTAAAGGAGTACACAATCTGGTACAGATGTCAGTGCTATGAAGAACAATTTGGTAAATGAGAAAACTGACAAGCATCTTCAAGAATCTGATCACGACAGGGACAATACAAATTGCAACAGAAGTACTTATAAATAAATGATACATCAATACAAATACATTTCAGACAGACCCCGTGTCGACACAGTGCTATAAACAATTACATTCTTATTGTACAAAAAAATTTAAATATTATATCAGCGAAATATAATATCTACGACTTGATATATGAAATAAATACGGTAATAATAGTTTTATATTTTATGGTCGTATTTATTTGGAGTGTGCTTAGCAACGAAAGTGGGTCTTATCATTAAGTATCGTATTTTCTGTAATTTCCCTTGATGACGTCGGATGAGGACAGGTATCTAAAAATATGAAACGTACTGTGGCATGTATCGTGTGCAATGTAAAATAAAATAATAGCGAGCGAAGAGTACATTTACTCGTGCATTTCAGTGCGAAAACATTAAATACTAGGCACGTGGAATCTGGAAGGTTGACAGATACTACACGTATCTCCACATTTTTGTGACGCATTCTTTTTGTATGTTGCAAATTACAAACATGCAGCGGCGCGAAATTTTGAGGTTAAATACGACATTGTCTATTTCAAGTCGTGGAGATATACAGGCCTACGTACATTAATGAAAACCATATTCAGACAAATGAATACACGGACCAAACCTGGACGAAACCTACATGCGAAATGTTTGCCGGCAGTCTCTGTCGGTGTGTACAGCCTTAAGTGTCATCTACGGCTTTCGATGAGCCCTGAATAATCTAACAAAACAAGAAAAAATCTCCAAAATAACAATATGATGTCTCGCCAACTTATAAATCCGCATGTCTACCATCACATATAAATTACATACAAGTCAGAACTCACTGGTGCAGAGGCCAATAAAAGAAATTTCATTTGAACAAATTTGAAATTCCTTAACATAATAGAATGCGCATATCAAACAACGTTACGAGCCATGTATCGACCGCATATAATCAACCTGCATGACAAATACCAGCAGAAATACATAGCAGGATACTAATTATAGGTGGGGTTAGCTGTTTCAAAAGATGGCAAAAAAGAGACTCGAAACGTGGGTAGTCTTAACTGTTTGTGTACAAAAGTTTCTATGATGAATCTGCGCCTACTGCAATCAACGCATACTTAATGCTCATCAGAAATACCGACAAAATTAAAATTCCGGTCAAACAGCAGCACAGAACAAACGCACGAAAGCTCGTGGTAATTACATTACGTCGCTTTACATAACTTGTACTTTGCTGCGATGCCAGCAGACAATATGACCAATATTATGGCTTCAATGGCAACTAGATAGAGGTTAAACCAATGACATCCAGGTTTCGCATAGAGGCACAAGAAATTTATCCATAATCGTGTTGTTCTGTGTTGTGGTAATCTTCAAGGTGAATATATAATGGTTTAGCATTTCTGGAAGCTTTATATAGGACAGGCAGACTGTTAAGATGGGCAACTGCAATGTTTGCCGAAATGCTGAAAAATTCTTAACACTCGACGCGGTTCATACGCGAAAGCCAAAGTTGCACACTGAACTCCAGCCCCGAAACCACACGGAAAAGGGAGAGAAAGAATATCAAAATTGCAATCCCAAGGAGACAAAGCGCGAATTAAATGCTAGAAACACTTGCTATCATGCACTACGTAATATTTTAACTTACCGTCTACCACACAGAAACCTACACGCGGACGGAGCTAGCTAGAC